TCAAATGTTTTATGCTTCTATTAGTTTTCACTATAATATATTGAAAATACCCAATATTTTGAATCTAATGATATTTTTACCTCTTTTCCAAGCTAGCTCTCTATTCCATTATTGAAGATTAAAGTTTCTAACGGACAAGAAAGGATATATAGTATAAAGGGACAACTGAACTAAGCAGCCTTATGATCACACAATGATATGTTCAATGTCTATGTCATAGCACCATTTTCAAACACTTAAAAAGAATTAAAGTGTTTGACTCTCAAGCAAATACAGAAAGTTTTGTAAGCTCATCAACAAATGATCCAGGGAAAGTACATTTTTGAGTAAGTAGAAATTTACAGGCATTTTTGAGAGGACATGAGAAAGAGATGGCTAGATTACATAAAAACTAATTAATGTCCTAGAGGACACTAACATCTTTATCTTTCCTATCTGCAAAACTGCACTCATCAATTTAGCAGATAACATTTCAGTGTTTCAATTATAATCAAATAGTAAACAAGTAAGAGAGCTATGGGAGTATTATCCTAGATAATTAAGAAATAATAGGTAGTTAGTGTAGTTAGGTAAATCCGGTCTAATATCAAGTAAGATAAATGAAAAGAAGGCCATTATTAAGAATGGAATCCAGGAAACCAAAGCAACACTGGGGGAAATTGAAATGTTAATGTCCTCAAGGCCTGGAACCCATTCTAAGGAACAGTTAATGAAACAGCTCCCAGCAAACAGAGAAATGCTAATCAAAAGCTGCCCCAGGCCCTTCCTGCCCAGATTACTCCTCCAGCCCACCTATCTCCCATCTTTTGGGCCTTTCCACCTGCATTCTATCACTGAAAGATAAAGGGAAACAAAAGACATGAATGTGGGAAAGCTGAAAGAAGACTTTAGCACTATATAAAAAAGGGAAGACCTCCACCTTCCATGGATTCCACCTCTTGGGTCCCCTTCTTCCTTCAGGGAGAAGTCTTTTCTGCTGTCCTTTAATAAAGCTTCTACTTTCCACTCTACACTTGCCTCAGCATGCTTCTCTGGTGTTACACCTCAGCATTCGATAAATAGCAGTAACAAGCAAGCAGTAAATAGCAGTGACACCTGTTAAACAATGCCTTTGTAGAAGACTGAGAGGTCACACTATCACACTCTTTGGCAGTATTTAAAAGTGGAACAGAATTTTTTTTTCTTTTTTCTTTTTGTCTGTTGAAAGTTTATTATTGTGTCCAATCTGTATTACGCAGGACTAAAAAATGACAAAATCATGGAATTTGCAAAATTTTCTTAAGTAGTGATTTGAAAAAAACATTCAAAGCACATAATTTTATGCTTTAGAATTGAAACTAGAAAAAAACACATATCTATATTTTGGAGAAACATTTTATATTTGGTTTTATGCCTTTCAGAAATATACAGAAATGTTGAATAGTTTTTAAGAAATATACAGAAATGTTAGTATTGAATAGTTTTTAAGAAGCTATTCAATACTAACAGCACAGGCCTAAGGCAACTGGATTATCAGTGGGTCCCAGAGGCAGGTAGAAATGTATAAAATTTACAAGACACACTAAAGAACTTTGTGTGTTGAAATAACCCTTCAAAAGTTCTAAAAAAAATAAGTGAGGGAAATATCCTAAAGTTCAAGTCATCGTTGTTATTTAGAAACCTGAGGCTACAGCTAAACCCTAGATCAATACTTTCAAATCATTTAAGCTATTTTACACTTTTATATTCAAAAGTGTATATATTATATTGCCTTCTTCCCCAGTCAAAAGTGCCATTCATATTTCAAGAAAAAAATTCTGGATCACTATAGGTAGGACACATACTTTGAGTCACAATTACCTAGGAATATTATATTTTATATTCCCTTTGTGATTTAAAGGGAAAATTCACCATAACATTTACTTATTTTTTATTGATTTTATTTTTTAAATACATGGCAGCAGAATGCATTACAATTTTTATTACACATATATACAGCAATTTTTCATATCTCTGTTTGTATATAAAATAGGTTGACACCCAATTTGTGTCTTCATACATGTACTTTAGATAATGATGCCCATCTCATTCCACCATCCTTGCTAACCCCCTGCCCCTTCCCTTTCTCTCCCACCCCTCTGTCCTATCTAGAGTTCATCTATTCCTCCCATGCTCCCCCTCCCTACCCCACTATGAGTCAGCCTCCTTATATCAGAGAAAATATTTGGCATTTGTTTTTTTGGGATTGGCTAACTTCACTTAGCATCATCTTCTCCAACTCCATCCATTTACCTGCAAATGCCATGATTTTATTCTCTTTTATTGCTGAGTAAAATTCCATTGTATAAAAAAAAAATCACAGTTTTAACATTTACTTATTTTTTTAAATAAACTCATCAATGAGTTGTTCCCTTCTTTTTTTTAGAGAGAGAGAGAGAATTTTATATATATCTATTAGTTTTCAGTGGACACAACATCTTTGTACGTGGTGCTGAGGATCGAACCTGAGCCGCACACCTGCCAGGCAAGCGCACTACCGCTTGAGCCACATCCCAAGACCCTACTTATTTTTTTAATATTTATTTTTCAGTATTCAATGGACCCAACATCTTTATTTTATTTTTATGTTGTGCTGAGGATCGAACCCAGCACCCCGCGCATGCCAGGCGAGCAAGCGTGCTACCGTTTGAGCCACATCCCCAGTCCTAACATTTACTTATTTACGGACAGTTTTCTGTCCTTTATCAGGTACTTTGGAATGATTTGATCTCAATTTTACCAAATAACTCACACAGAGAAGAAGATTTTCATTGAGACCCATAAGGCCTGAGTTCTCCTCATAATACCCTACAGGCCTGGCAGGGGCACTGAGAATGGGTCCTTATGGTCATTTAGTTTGCTTTTGCTTAAAGAATCCCCTACAATTCCACAAGCTTCAGACCCCACCAAGCCTGGCACTCTGGGCTTAGCAGCCACATGAACTTTTATTAAAGAAAATGCTATTGTTTTCTGTAAGTATGCAAACACATCCTAGTCTTCACATTTCTGGGAAATGTGTTCACATACTATGAATACCGATCTTTTAACTAGTTTGTCAAAAGTTCTTTTTAAAAAACTCCAAGTTCAAATGCCCATAAAGACACTGATCCCTGTTTCCAGGGCTATTTCCCCAATGCCTACATCAATGCATGGCTTCCCATTCACAGGGGGCCTTCCTACACATACCAGGTTGATGCAGATCCAACTCACTATAGGCAAACAACAAGCATGCTACTGAGGAAAGAAGAGCTTGACTCAGTTAAAATATCAGCAGGAGTTTAGACCCTGTTATCCAAGGCTTTATAGACTATATTGATCCTCTTGGCACTCATAGCGTTACTTGAGATTGAACATGTTCCTTTAGCAATAAAGAGTATTGACAGCACTTATCAAATAAGGACAAACAATCCATGTCCACTAAATGACTTGACTACTGAGAGAAAACTCTTAGAGAGTTTGACAAAGACACTACTGAACAATTTTTTAATAAATGCTCATGACATTATATGGGAGACTGTTCAGAGCCTCCATTCTACATGCCCCTGATTTATACCAAGTATTTAAAGTTGATTGTGTTCTCAGATAAGAATAACTTGTACATTACAGTTGTGTTGCTATTAGATGACACTGTGGATATTTATACTTGAAACTGGTAATACTGTGCAGGAACTTGTAGGATTAATACACTATCACCAAATATGATATAAAGTAATGCTTTCCACGAGGCTTCAATGAAGACAGTGTACAAATCTTCAAATCAAGGTATCAATATGGAGACTCCTCAGGTCAATTATATTACTTGAACATCATGGGTTTGCTTCCCATGTAGGCCAACAAAATAGACTTGGTCTGCACCCCCAGTCATGGGCAGGGACATTTCCATATGCTGAGGGCCATTACCAAGTAGGAATGACGCATC